TTCCACTCCACATCCTACTACAGAGACACTTGCTCATCCATGTTCACTGCTGCTCTATTCACAATAGCTAGAAATTGGGAACAATATAGGTGTCTATCAACAGATGAATGGATAAAGAAGAAGTGGTACATTCATACAATGAAATATTATCCAGCTTTGAAAAACTGAAATTTTCAGGTAAATGGATGGGGCTAGAAAACGATGATCCTGAATGAGGTAACCCAGACCCCAAAGACAAATATGGTATGTATTCTCTTATATGTTGGATGCTAGATTTTAAGCCTTTGATAGAATTGCTACTATCCACATAACAACAGAGGTTAAGCATAGAGTAAGCGACTAGACAGGGTAGAAAGAATCCCTAATATAGGGGAAATAGAATATGTAGTTATGGAGAGATAGGAGTGGGGACTGGAACCAGAGGATTAAATTGAGAGGGGTAGCTAAGAAGGGGTGTAAGGGAAGGAATACAAAGAGAGGCAGCTAACACTAAGTGCCTTAAAAGGGGTCATATGGAAACCTGCTACAGTAGAAGCATATATATATATATGCTTATATGTGCATATATATGCATATATATAGATATAGATATATCCTGGATATTATTTTGCACAGCACCAAAGGAGAAAGATAAACACCAGTCCAGTTCTAAAGCCTTTAACCCACAATGGTAACCTGTCTGCATATATCTGGTACAGTAATGGCATGAAGGTTGTAACCAGCCATTGTGTGATTTGATCTGGCCTACTCCTGCGACAGAACTCACTCCTGATAATGCTTGGGTGTCTAAGAACTTGAGACTAGATAAGCCATGGACCTAGAGGGAAATCAAGTACTATTGCTTTGCTAAAGGAACATGACAATAAAGTGGCTCATAATGCCATTCTGCTATACCCGTAGATCAGAGTCAGGCTCAGCCAGCATCCGAGAAGCTTCCTCCTTCAGGAGATGGGATCTAATGCAGGGAACTCACAACAGGACACTGTACAGAGAATAAGAGGCCTTGGAACACTCAGTCCTAAGTGGGATGTCTTCATCACACTGCTCTCTCCCCTTAGGGCCCAGAGAACTCTTCAGAAGGGGAGGCGGAAAGGTTGTAAGGACCAGTGGGGATGGAGGACACCAAGAAAACAGCTCCCTTCAGACACAAAGGACTGACACATACATAAACTCAGAGAGGGTAGCAATATGCACAGGGACTACACAGGTGGGTCACAGCACGGAGAAGGGAAATGGACATGAGCCTCCATCCTTAACCCAGAGCTGTCTCCCATTGATAACTGCTGGCAAAGGAAGAGTCAGTTTTCTCCGATAAAGCTGCACTGGGTATACAAACCACACTTAAGGGAGGCCCCAGGGCCTGCAGCAGACAGCCAACACAAAACGAACTCAGTGGTATTTCTGTCTCATAATGCTTTGTCTGAGCATTTTTGCCTTGTTTGCTGCTTACCTGTTATGGTTTCCAATTTAGTGGGTGTGTGTGTGTGTGTGTGTGTGTGTGTGTGTGTTTCTCATACTTTTTCTCTGCACTCCTCCCATTTGTCTGTTTGTTTTATTCCAGTTTGACCTTTTCTTTTTGGCCATTTGTTTTCTAGAGAGAGAAAGAAAGAAGGTGTTGAGTTGGATGGGTGAGGAATGGGAAGACTTTGGAGGAGATGATGGAGGGGAAACTGTGATGAGAATATGATATGTAAAAAATATGTTTTAAAAACGTGTTTGCAATAAAAGAGAGAAGGATAGAAGGAGGGAAATAGGGAGGGGAGAAGGAGGGGAAGAAGGAAGAAGGGAGGGAGGGGAGAGGAAGGGAGGCAACACCAAAGGAAAAGAATCTAGAGAAAACAAAACAGAGCAGAAAGATTTTTACAGGGAGAAAGGAACGATATATCTCAAGGACATAATAGAAGCAGTTATATCTATAAAACAAACAATGGATAATATTCAAAATAAGAAAAATGAAGATATAGACAAGTCAGGTTACGACCAAAGCGTTTGGAAATTAAAGTCAGAACAACATGAACCAGACTGCTGGTTTCCACCTTATGGTCTTCCTGGTGAAGAAATCAAAAGCAAAGCATCATTTTATAAGTAGCAATACGCTGGGTAAAAAGGCATCTGCTAGCCCGTCTCTCAGGCTGTGCCAACCATATCACGTGACTAAACGCCAACCATGGAAAGCCTGTCTTTTGTGCCTCTTCCTTTCTTCTATGGCCTGGATGTGACAGAAGGGCCAGGCTCCAGCAGCCCCACCTCGCATCACAAGACAATCTGCTAAGTGTGGGTGGTAAAGAAAAAAGGAATCCTAGCCACTCAGGGCTGTGGAGTTGCTGCATCCACCTCGGGCTCCTTGTTAAATCACTACTGTCTTGTGATTTTGTTATTGGTAATCAAGCCTCATTATAACTGACACAGCAAGCAACATTTAAAACCAAAATCACCAGAAAAACTGGGAAAGAAATTTGTGACATGTTCCGGGGAGGAGAACATGATGACAAGAAAACAGAGCACTGTTTAACAAGACCGGGGGGGGGGGGGGGGATGGCCGCGTTGTGGAAAATTATCGAGGAGAGCAGGGAACAGGTGGGATTCTGTGAACAGCAGTGACAAGAGCAGCAGTAGGAGACACAATATCAGCATGATGGGTGATGGAGAGAGGAAGAAATCTCCAAAGATATAACGATCTTGTTGGGTATTGTGGTGTACGGCTCTAATCCCAGCACTAGGGAGCCCAGCTGAGTTTAAAGCCAGCCTCCAATACATAATAATTGTAAAACCAATCTGGGCTATATAATGAGACTCTGAGATCTCAAAACACAACAAACAGAACCCAAAAAGATGGAAAGGTCTTGTCCTTAGGGAACCAGAGGCATTGAGAAATTAGTGGGAGTACTTACCAGGTTTATTTTAAACAAGGAGCTTCTACATCTGAAGTCAAGAGCACCCCTGCACACCCCCATTCTAGTCTCCAGGCTAAAGAACGTGGGAATAAAAGGACATGTCCCGAGGCTTCAGAGATGACAAACTGGGATCAGTCATTGCTCTGGTTTGCTTCCTATTGCTGTGATAAACACTACAACCAAAGGCAATTTGGGGAGGAAAGAGTTTGTTTCATCTTACAGCTTGCTGTTCATCATGGAGGGAAGTCAGGGCAGGGACTCGGGGCAGGAACCTAGGGGCAGGAACCTGGGGGCAGGAACTGACGCAAAGGCCGTGGAGGATGCTGCTCAGTGGTGCAAGCAGAGGTCGTGGAGGATGCTGCTCAGTGGTGCAAGCTCCCTGTAAGCTCTCTCAGCCGGCTTTCTTGCACAACTCAGGGCCATCTGCCCAGGGTGATACCACACACAGTGGGATGGATTCTCCCACAACAAGTATTAATCTATAAGACAATCTGATGGAGGCATTTTCTCCATTGAGGGTTCCTCTTCTCAGGTGACTGAGCGTGTGTCAACTTAACAAAAACCTTGTTACTGTTGTTATTGTTTGGAGAAAGGGCTTCTCTGTGTAGTCCTGGCTGTCCTAGAACTCACTCTGTAGACCAGGCTGGCCTAGACTCAGAGACTCGCCTGACTCAAGTCAACACAAAGTGAACACCCACTGTCATCATTCCAACAGTAAGGATGTAGGCTCAGCAGGGTGTGTTCCCCAACACTGAGCTCACTGAAAGAGAATGAGAGCTACTGATTGATGGATGTAGTTTCAGTTTTATCAGAAGGAAATGACAATAGTAGTAGCTGTCTAACTTAAACACAAATATATTTAATGACACTCATCTGTATACTAGAAATGGCTCAGATAGTAATTATGTATTGAGTACATCTTAACTAAGTTTTTAAAAATGTATTTCTGAAAACAGCTGAAAGTCTAGAGAGTGAGGTAGGACTCTGGAGCCGGACTCACTGACACTCAAAGATGGTGTTTATCTGGGGAATACCGCTGCTGCAAGGCACTGTCCTGCACCTTCCAGCATACTTCCAGAGAGTTCCCTGATGTCCTCATCCTTGCCACAGGCTCAAACACAATGGTGTCAACTGAGTATGGACAGAAACCTCTGAAATGGTGCCCAAATACATTCTTTCACCTTTAAGTTGTTTTCTCAGGCATGTTGTCATCACGATAGAAAGCTAGTTATTTCACCAACTTTTGAAGCAAAAAGGTTTGTTTTGGCCTATGGTTTTGGAGGTGTCAGTTCGTGGCTGGTTGACTCCACTGCTTTGGGCCTGTAGCAGAGTATCATACCATGGGGAAACATGTGATAAAATAAGACTTGCTTATATCATGGGCCAGAGAGCAAAGGAGAACAGAAAGAGAACCAGCGCCCCCAAGCCCCCTTGAGGAGCATACCTCTGATGACCTGGAGACCTCCCATTAGGCTCCTCCCCTTAATGGCTCTACTACTACCATTGCACCATCCTGGGATCACGCATTTAGCATGGGCTGTGAATGACATTCTGGACCAAAACTATAATATATAAAGATATAAAACACTAGGACATGGCAGGTCCTCAAAGATGATGTTTTCTCTTTCTCTCAGAATTTCTCACATTCTATAATGATTTTCTTTGTGCTTGTAGGTTTAAGAAATACTAGAATCCTTTCACTACCATCCTCTCATCCCATGGTGCCTGTGTTACTTGACAGTCCTCTTCTGCCAACAAACTGAGTGTCCTTGGCGTTAAGAAAGATCCCCAACAAAGGATAACTTAGCCTGATTCATGGTAATTAAGCTTCAGCTGACTTTTGACTAAGAGGAAAATGACACTCAATTTCTAGCTATGGCCCCTAACTACTATATATGCAAATAGAAATTTTTGTCTAAAATGAGCCAGTGTGTAAATAACATGGTAGAATTATAAATAATTTAACTGGCACCTAAATTCTAACATTCTGAAATAAATATTAAAATTACCAAAAGTTACGAAAACTGGGGTGTAATAACCGGGTAGGGGAAGCAAATGGTGGTTGCCCCAAAATAGGAGTCCCTGGCACAGTCCCACAGCACTTACCTTCTCTATTCCCTCTTGGCTGGCTGCACAGGTCCAGGACAAGTTGCTCATGCGATTCACTCCCTAAAGCCTGCTGGTTCTGACAGGACTCCTGCTCCTCCCAGGAGGCAGCGGGCAGCCCACCAGAGGCTTCTGTAGGAAAGGACGAAGGAGACCCCAAGTCCAATAGGAAGCTATCTTGTAGGGTTCGCTTGGTGACTTGCTTGTACTTCCCCTTCTGCCTCTTTGGGATCTGGTTTTCCTCTCTTGACCCAAGCGGGCTCTCGTGCCTCCCTAAGGGATGGAGTAGCAGATCCATGTCCTTGGTGAACTCTAGCAGGGTGCCCTCAGCGAGGCTTCCAGCAGGGGTGTCAGAGCCGTAGCTGGGAGCCTTGTCCTGGAGCAGGTGCTCGGAGCAGCGTAGAGGACCTGGATCTTCTCTGGGCACCGGTTCCGGAGACTGGGGGAGGCTGTTGTGAGCCATGGAGAGGGCAAAGTAAGAGTAGTCCACAGCGATGTAGGTCAGCATGAAGCTGATGGTGACAACGGGTGCCAGAACATTCACCTGGCCCACAAGGACGAAGGCCATAGTCACCAAGCTGGTCAGGCAGATGGCTGCTACAGGTGTTTTATTTGGCCCTTTCTACGAGAACAACAAAAATATAGAACTATGAAATTTCAGGTAGAAAGTTTCAGAAATTTTACAATTAAATGATAAAAAAAATCAAATGTAATATCTCAGGAACCTCTCTCCACGTGAAGTTGGGAAAAAAATCCAACTCATGGGGTCAATGTGAGACCTGAGCCAACATGTGAAAATGCAAACCCAATACAGTCAAATAGTGGCTCCTAAATACCACAGGCATAGGCCACATCACTAATGTACAGCTTTGGAAGTCTTGGTGTTTCAACTCCCCCAAATAGGCGGCCTCCATGTGATTACAAACCACTCACCTTCCGCTCACCCAGGCTGAGGGACAGCTAAGGGACAAGTTGTTACAGCAGAACCACAAGTGCCTGGAGCAGGGAAATCCTGTTAGCATATGTGGACATGTGCTAATGCACAGACAATTACACATGCCTGGCATTCATGGAGGAGGGCATGGATGTGGGAAGATGTTTTAACTGCCTTTCCTGGAAACTATCACAGCCACTCATGGAACCAAACGGGCAGTCACATCTCGGTCCCTGAGGAAATTCATGCAACACAGAGGCCCTTCCCCTCTGTGTGGGAGATTCTTCACCTGGCTTCTCTCCACTTGCTGCCTCCTCCACCCGCTGATCGCTCTCCATCTTCCTAACCCACTCCCCACGCCTCAGAGATGGTATCTAAAGCCGTCCTGTGCCTTGTCCTCCAGACACTCCTTTTCTCCACCTAGACTCACTCAAGAGGCTCTTGACCTGGTTCATGGCTTAAGACATCAGTTTTATGTGGGCAGCTCCCAGCTCTGAACTTCCAGCCTAAAGCACTCCTGGTACCCCTCTGAAAGCAGCTGAGGCTTCTAAGGGTGTATCAGAACCATACTGATCTGAGACACCCTCCCCAGAACAGCCCTTGAAAGGAGAGGAGGAAGGGGAGAGGAGGAAAGGAATGTGGAAGCAAAAGGTTTTATAATGCTTGAGAACTAGTTTGGGTGAGCAGTTATTAGAGGGGCTTGGCAGATTCTAACAATAAAATAAACTAAGTCCTTAGAAACTCATAACTTTAAAAGAAGTTTCTGATAAAAAGATATGGAAAATAGTGAATCCCTACAACCTCATCGGAAAAAGACAGACATGGCAGATGAGACGGCTCAGCAGGTAAAGATGTCTGTTTTCCAAATACCCACAAGAATGGCAAACGTGACAATACATAGGATTCGAATGCCTCGCCCATCTCTACAGCAGCATTGATTAGTACAAGTACTCCGGAAAGAGGTCGGGTGTTACTCAGCATGTGAAGACAGACGGTAAGAACTTTCAGTAATAGAAGCTGGAGGTGGTGGCACAGTACTCGGGAGGCAGGAGCAGGTGGATCTCTGAGTTTGAGGCCAGCCTGGTCTACAGAGTAAGTTCTAGGACAGCCAAGACTACACAGAAAAACCCTGTCTTGAAGAAACCAAACCAAACAAACAAACAAATTCTGATAATAGGAATGCAAGTTTGGGGTTAGTCTAAATTTACATCCAGAACAAGGCTCATCCATAAAGCCCCCCAATAATAAAATGCTTCTACAGCAAAGAGGAGGAGGAGGCTCAGAAACATAATGATGAGGGAAAGAATATAGCATAGAAGGACACACACACACACTCACACACACACAGATACACACACACACATACATACTCACACACATAATTCCATGTATAGACTTCATATCCTCAGTATAAAGATTCTGTATCTGAAATGATGGAACTCCACAACAACTGTATTTGATTTGGATATATATATATATATATGTATGTGTATATATATATAATTTTTATTTAAATTAGAAACAATCTTATTTTACATATCAATTCCAGTTCCCTCTCCCTCCCATCCTCTCATACTCCCCAACTACCCCTCAGCCAACCCCCCATCCACTCCCCAGGAAGGGTAAGGCCTTCTATGAGGGATCATTAAAATCTGTCAAGTCATTTGGGACAGGGCCTAGGCCCTCCCCTGTGTATCAAGGCTAAGAGAGTGTCCCTCCATGGGGAATGGGCTCCCGAAGTCCGTTCGTGCACTAGGTTTACATCCTGGTTCCACTGCCAGAGACCCTATAGACTGCCCATTGCTCCTAACTGACACCCACGTTCAGGGGACCTGGTTTGGTCCTATGTTGGTTCCCCAGCTGTCAGACTGGGGCTCGTGAGTTCCCACTTGCTCAGGTCAGCTGTTTCTGTGGGTTTTCCCCGGCATGGTCTTGACCCCTTTGTTCGTCACTTCTCCCTCTCTTTAATTGGGAAATCCCACACTATGAAACTTTGTTTCATGCCTAAAATTTCTAAAAATGCTGTGTATAATTACCTTCAGGCTATGTGGCTAGGTGTATATGAAACATAAATGAATTGTGTGTTTAGACTTGACCCCAAAGATACTTGCTGCATTATAAATATAGAAATATCCCAAATCTGAAAAGCTCCTGGCCCCAGACAGTAAAGACAAGGAATGCTTAATCTGCATTTGAAGGTCTCAGAATCAGGCACGCTGTTTAGAGATGCATATGGAGGGAACAGAGCTGCAAGCCGAGGTCCCTGGGCCAAATCCCAGTGTCTGTTTATGCCATGAGCTACAAGAGGCTTTGCAGATTTGAAACAACTGGAGGGAAATCAAAAGAAGAATGATATTTGGTTGTGTGAATCACATAAAATTTAGATTTGTGGCCTTGGTCAAGGGTTGGGTACTCTCTGTGGCAATTTATGAGCCTTCACTGGCAGAGCAAAACACAGGTGGTGAAGGCCATGGGGCTTGCAATGTCTAAGGTATGCGCTCTTTGACTCTTGGGAGAACCCTGCAGACCCCTGAGAAAGGCCATCCATAGGGCAAGGAAATGCTCATCACAGAAGTCAGGGGTGTGGAGGGAAAGGGAAGGGCCTCACTGGGGAGGTAGGCAGGGAGCCAGTCAGGCTCGCAGGGTTCATGGGTGGGGGCTACAAGGTGCTTACCTCAGGGTTATTCTTAAGGCTATTTAAAATGATTTTATGATGTCTTCTATTATGTCCACTATAACTCAAAGAAGTGTTTAAGTTTCTAATGCTCTGCCATTAAGAAAAGTAAATAAAACCCAATCTTATATGGAAGAAGTTTTTAGGGGATGAGGGAAGCTTCCAATGTCAAAAGACACATGACAAACAGGGAGAAATATCCCCAATACAGATCACAAATAGTTAACCTTCCTAACAAAGAGCTTCTAGAGATTGAAAATAATTCGATGGGGGGGGGCACAAATCAGCTAGAAAACAGGAAGAGATAATTTACATCATTCACAATAAAGGGAACACACATCTTGGTCTACCAAAGGGCCATTTCTACTGTACACTGGCAAAAGATTTCACTTAACAATGAGCCATAGAAGCTGGGCAACAGTGGCACATGCCTTTAATTCTAGCACTTGAGAGGCAGAGGCAGGCTGATCTCTGAGTTCGAGGCCAGCCTGGTTTACAGAGTGAGTTCCAGGACAACCAGGGCTACACAGAGAAACCCTGTCTCAAACAAACAAACAAAAAAATGAGCCATAGACAGGCTCCTTGCTACCACTGTCCTTGTCACTCAAGGCAACAGTGCAAATGAGGTTCATAAACACTGTGTCTAAATATTTACAAATATAGACTAAGTTAAAATATGAGCCAATATGTCTATCCTTCTTCCTTGGCAGACATACCTACAAGATAATGAGAAGGCCAGGTTTCAGGTTTTGTTTGTTTCAAACTCAGAGATCCGCCTGCCTCTGCCTCCCAAGTGCTGGGATTAAAGGCCTGAGCCACACCTCCAGCCAGCCTTCCACATTAATGGATGCACAACCTCCAGGTCAGGGCTACCCCAATCTCTTTGTAGACTATATTGGGGGGGGGGGAGACTCACACTTGTATGTGGACTCTCACCTCACGCCTTGACTCTATCTAGATGGTGAGAGGCCTTTGCACACTGTGGAGACAGGTGGTGGTGATGGCATCTGGGGGGATATTATATGGCATCTTCCTGGACACAGTATAGAGGAAGGTACCTGGGACCTAGGTAGGAATGTTCCCATGGCCTCATCAAACTTTTACAACTAACAGTTGGAGCAGAATCCAATCTTAATAACTAGTCTTGATTGTCAATTTGATTGGGTTGAGAGATACCTAGGGCACCAGCAAAGCATACTCCTGAATGTCTGTGAGAGGGTTTACACAGATAATTTGACCATCAGACTCCAGTCTAATCACTAATATTCGTGTGATGAGGTCAATTTTCTTTTTCTTTTCTATTGAGTGTGAGAAATATAATTAACACTACTTTTGAGACTCTACCTTACCCAAGTCAGAAACCAAGAAAACAAACAGTAAATGCTGGTGAGGATGTGCGAAAGGGGAAATGCTTATTCACTGATGGCAGAAATGTAAAATGGTGCAGCTACTATGGAAATCAGTGTTGAGGTTCCTCAAAAACCTAAAAATAGAACCAACATATGATGCAGTCCGTATCTAACCCCTGTGCATATGCCCAAAGGACTCCGTATCTTTTTGACAGGGGTACCAGCACCTCCATGTTCATTGCTGCTCTATTTATAATAGCCAGGAAATGGAATCAGTCTAGATGTCCATCAACTGATGAATGGATAATGAAAACATGGCACATATACACAGTCGAATTTTATTCAGATGTAGACAAAAATGAAGTTATGAAATTTGCAGGAAAATGGATGGAACTGGAAAATTTCACACCAAGTGAGATCACTCAGGCCCAGAAAATGTCACACATGTTCTCTCATGTGGATCCAAGCTTCAAACTTGGAGACTTGGAGATTTGGAGCATCTATGTAAGCCAGGAAGCTAGAAAAGCCCTATGAGAAGTGGAAGCAAAGGAGTTTTAAGGGCTAGAGGAACACGTGATATGAAAATAAAGGGAGGGGCTCAAATGTGATGACTTAATCCCAGCCTTGGGAGGCAATCATCGCAAAGCCAAGAGAACACCTTGTAAAAGGTGGAAAGAATGTAAGAGTCAGAGGACGGGGAAGAGGGCTGTCTAATGCTGTCTTCCGGGCTGTTGCACCCACAAACTGCAACTATGGTTACCTGCACAAAATTGAGCCAACAAGACCAGCCAACATCCCAGCAAGCAGCACTAACTAGACTCTCTGGGTTACAAATAAGAGGAAAGGACAAGAAAATGGGAGACCTCTCAGGGGAGGGGAGGGGAAGAGAGACTTGGAGGTGGCTATGAGCAAGATACATTGCCCACATGTATGAAATTGCCAAAGAATAAAGAAATAAAAAACATCATCACACACAAAAAGATTTATTCAAAGCATTTGCCAATACAGATGTAAACTGTATAGATACAGTTGTAGTAGTAGAAAGAGAGAATTACCCACTACAACACTGCTTTCTGGAAATCACTCATATAAGTATCAGTCAACAGGGAACTGACTGGATTTCTAAACTATATGATTTTAAAAATGCAAGTTATAAAATAAACTGAGAGAACTGTCTGTTATGTAAAAATAGAAGGATTCATTTGAAAACCAAACAGGGAGCCTGGGGAGACAGCTCAGTTGGTAACTGCCTGCCACACAATCATAAGGACCTGAATTCAGATCCCCAGCACCTGTGTAAACTAGGCATAGGGACTTGCACCTGTAACCCAACATGAACTGGTGGTGGCTCCGAGATAGGATCCCTAGAGTTCTTTGGCCAACTACCCTAGCTGTATCAGTGAGAGACCTTGCTTCAAAAACTAAAGTGATGTGGCTAGAGAGACGGCTCAGTGGTTAGAAGCACTTGGTCCTCTTCCAGAGGACCTGGGCTCAGTTCCCAGCACCCACATGGCAGTCGGGTGATCTGACCTGATACCCTCTTGTAGCCTTCACAGACACTATGCTCAAGTGGCACACAGACATACATGCAGACACATGTATGTATTTCATAATAATTTTTAATATTAAAATATAGCTGGCCATGGTGGCACATGCCTTCAATCCCAGCATTTGGGAGGCAGAGGCTGGTGGAACTCTGTGAGTTCGAGGTCAGTCTGGTCTACAGAGCAAGTTCCAGGAAAGCCAGGATCGTTACACAGAGAAACCATGTCTCAACAAATAAATAAATAAATAAATAAATAAAGGAAAGAGCGATTGAGTGGTTGAAGAAAACACATGAGGTTGACCTCAGGTCAACATGTATGCACTCACACACCCACACCCACACTTACACACACCAGGAACATATCCACAGGAATATGTATGTAATATACTACACACACATAAACACACAGATTGACAAGGCTATGTATTCAATTCCCATCACTGCAAAAAAAAAACCAATGAAACAAATGGAATCTCACACACACACACACACACACAAAGTAAATAAAAACAGAAACATTTGAACATGCAGCCAGAGAATTCTAGCAAAATTTGGTGACCTTGAGCTATACAGTGAGATCCTGTCTCAAAAATCCAAAGTGGGGTGGAGGAGGAGGAATTACAGTGGATGAGGCTGAAATCAGAAGGGACTAACAATCCACAAACAAAGTGTAGGCAGGGTGGTGGTGTCATACGCCTTTAATCCTAGCACTCGGTCAGGAGACAAAGGATCTCTGAGAGTTCAAGGCCAGCCTGGTCTACAGAGTGAGTTCCAGGACAGCCAGGGCTCCACAGGGAAACCCTGTCTCAGAAAACAAAAAAACACACAAACAAAAATACAGCTTATTCACCACGTTACAGGGAAGTGGGATTCCCAGTGTCTATATCTATTGGCTTTTAGGAAAGTCTCTTTTGACCCTCCTACAGTCAGTCAACCATGCTATTCAGTATCCATTATAGTTTGGCCCATAATAGCTCTCAGAGAACCCACAGCCATAGTGTGGAGCCTCACTAAACAACCACTGCTGCCATCGCCACCACCACTTCCGCCAACAATACCACTGTCACCACCATCACTGTCACCACCACTGCCGCCATTACCACCACCATCACTATCACTGCTACCACCATCATCATCATCATCATCACCACCATTATTACCAGCACCACTACCAAGAATAACACCATCACCATCACCATCATTGCCGCCAACACCATCACTGTCACCACCAACACTACTATCACCATCACCACTCAGACACAATGAGCCTGTGGGAAAGGCAGAGATGCAAGGGCTTGCTCTTCTCCTGAACAAGAGATTCTTTCATGCTAAACTTGGAGGGTCCTGGATCCATTTTTATTGAAGGAGAGGGCTCTGCTCCCTGCTGCTCAGAGTCAGGAAGCTGGGAGGCTATGATATGTGAGATGCTTTATCTAAGTCGTTAGCCAATCCACCCAGGGACAGGGCTGAAAGATACATCCCCTGCCCTCCACTCTGTCCCACCTCAGAGACCAGAGACACTGATCAAAAAGTAATAAGAAAAGCTAATGGGGGGGAGAGGGAGCTAGAGAGCATGCAAACAAAACAAGCCACTCACCCCTTGCCCCAGAAAGGCCAGTACAGGAACCACTTTCTCCTGGGCGATGCACTGCAGGATCCGGGGGGCTCCATAGAGTCCCCCCATACAGGACGCCAGCGATGAGATGTACAAGCCCAACAGGAAGAGGAAGCCAACCAGAGACACCTGTGAGAGGCAGATGTTCCACGGTTACCACAGGCTGATCCTGAATGTCCTGCAGCCGCCTCTGTGATAAAGCTTGCCCTCACCCCTCCCCAGCGAGGCCTCTACTGAACACAACTGGACTGTCAAAGGCAGGGCCTGCTGGGAGTTCTTTGGGTGGGGGTGCCCTTGAGGGGGTGCTGGGGCCTCAGGCCCTTCTCTTTTGCTTTTGAGACAGTTTTGCCATGCTACACACTCATAGCCATTGCCACCGTAGTCATTGGCGTTCCTACAATAGACTCAAAACAATGGGTCATGGAATGAGACCCCAAAACCAAAGCGAAATAAGACTTTTACTAGTTTTTATTTATTTAGTGTGGAGGTGTATGGTTGCACCTCAGGACAGGCATGTGTAAAAATTGGTCCTTTCCTTCTACCACATGGGTCCCAGGGATAAAACTGAAGCTATTCGGCTGGACTGCAAGTATCTCTTTACCTGCTGAGCCATCTCACCAAACCAAACTTTTCTGTTTATAAATTATTTCAGGCATTGCACGATAGTGACTGGAATCTGGCTAGTATAATTATTCAATGACCATCACTGTTTTTTTTAATTTTACAAATATTTACAATTTATTTGGGGGTTCTCTGTCCCCTGTACACCTTACAGGTCAGATGACCCAGAACATCAGTCCTCACTGTACACTTTGAGGCAGGGTCTCTCCTGCTTGCCCTGCACTGCACACTATAGGTTAGATGACTCGCAAGCTCCTGGGGGATTCTCTTTCCTCCATCTCCCATCTTGGTGTAGAAATCCTGGGATGATGCTTTGTGACAATCCATCTGGGTTTTCACATGGATTCCAGGGATTCAAAATCAAGCCATCAGGACAGTCAGGGCTGAGTGTCTGAACGTTCCCAGGGCCTAAACCTGTCGTTTGCTAATTGTGTTAGTTTGTTTTGTCTTCTGAGACAGTCTTGCTATAAGTCCGGGTTGTCCTTAGTTCACAATACCCCTTACCTCCAACTCCCTGGTTCTGGGATTACAGGCATGCTAAGATAGTTAGACCCGGCCTTGACCCTTTGCACTCCCCTGGGGCACCTTCCTGCTGTCCAGCTCTTTACACTGCGCTTCCCCCAGCTCAGCCGCAGGGCTGGATTCCCCCACTCTTTCAGGTTAGTTCATATCCTATATGGGCTGTATACTAGTTCTCAAATTGGGCAGGCATTGGATTCATCTCAGTGCCTCTCAAACCAGTGGTTTCTGGGCCCTATTCTTACCATTTCAGATTCAGGGGGTGTTGACAAGGGCCTAAGAATATGCATTTCCTTAAGGTTCCAAAGTAATGTTGATGCCAGTGGCTAGAAACCACACTTTGAGAGTTGGTGACTAACTATGGTTCCAGTCAGGCTCTTGAATTTTCTGAGCGATGCCCTAAATCAGGGACAGAGTGACAAACTTAGCCCCATCCTAAAGCTGCAGTTACAACTCCTACTGGTTGATAAGCAGACCCTGCACATTCCATGAATCTCCCCTACCCCACACCCTGCACAACACTCACTGTTGGGACCCTGTGTCCACACTCTCAGACTGCTCATTGTTCAACACTGGGCATCAAGAAGCAGCACAAGGGGGCTGGAAAGATGGCTCAGTGGTTAACAGGGCTTACTGCTCCTGCAGAGAACCTGGGTTCAGCCCAGGCACCCCACATCAGGCAGCTTACAACAGCCTATAACTCCCATACCAGGGGATCTGGTGCCCTATGGCCTCCATGGGCCTCTGCATGCACATAAACTCATTTGGGTGCACACATACACACATACACTAAAAAAAAAAAAGACTCAGTACAAACCCCATCTCCTCTATGGGACATCTCATTTGTCCTCATACCAGTGGTTGCTCCCCAGTGTCATGAGGCATGAGGAGAGGCTATATCGGCAGTCTCCTCTAACAACCTGCTGACTTCAGTTAGTCAGAACTCACGCTCTTCCACTTCAGTATTCTCAGCGCCCAAAAGAGGTACATAAATGGTGAATTAATTAACTGATGTAATCCACAACCCATACATCTCACCGGTGTCAAGAGACAGAGCAAGAAAGAACAAAGCTGTTCCCCTTGGTGTCAACCGGCAAGGGACCAGTGCAGCTGCCCACGCAGCAATGCCCTGGGTGAGCTGTGAACCCACCTCATGAATCCCCATCTGGACCTTGGGAAGCCCCTCTTTTTGGATAACTGGCAGCCCCCTCTCCACACTGCCTTACTTCAGTCATAGTGACTAGAACTGTGTCCTTCGAGTGCTCATTTGCATAAACCTGACACATGGGTTAGACAAACTTTCAGCTTGTCACTTACAGCCTTCTTGACGAAGGTTCACCATCTCCGATCATCCTAGTTAGCTTCAGGTGTCAACTTGACACAGTCCAGGGTTACCTGAGGAAGTTTCAAGTGGGGGCTGCCTAGGTTAGTTTGACCTATGGCCATGTCTGAGTCATTTTCTTAATTTCTAGTTGATTTAGGAGGACCAAGTCCACCGTGGGCAGTGCCATCCCTAGGCAGCTGAGTCTGAGTTGCATAAGAGAGCTACATGAGGAAGCTAGGAGAGCAAGCCTGCCAACAGTGTTCCTTCGCTGGTTTCTGTTTCAGACATCCGCCTTGACTTTCCTTGATAAATGGACTGCAACCTGTAGGCAAAAACCCCCTTTCCTCCCCAAGTCGCTATTGGTCAGTGCTTTATTATAGCAGTAAAGATCAAACTAGAACTACGTTTAATTTCCTTGCTTTAGCAATGGGCTAAGTCCACGTGATCAAGTCATACTGAGCTCAAGGCCTGGATAACCTACTTCCTGTTTGACAACGTATCACTAAAATAATCTGATTGGAAAACCCCATACCAATCAGGCTGCTTGATTTGAGAGCACACAAGTGACAACGGGGCTGGTGAGATGCCTCAGCAGGTAAAGGCACCTGCTGTAAGCCCAGCAACCTGAGCTTGGTCTCTGGGACCCACAAGTTGTCCTCTGACCTCTGTGTGTGGGACCCTCCCCCTAGAAGTACATTTAAAGAAATGAGTGTGTCTGGAGGGTCACACTCCTCACTAGGGACAGTTCAGCCAGGGCACTATCAGCGCTCTGCACCCCGCAGATGACCCTCACCACCTCATTCTCATTGCTCTTGAAATGTTCACCCGCCCCACCTCAGTCATGTGACCTATTAGGGCTGCAAAGCAGCATCAAGAAAGGGTCTGGCCGGGCGGTGGTGGCACATGCCTTTAATCCCAGCACTCGGGAGGCAGAGGCAGGTGGATCTCTGTGAGTTTGAGGCCGTGCTGGACCGACAGCCTCCAAAACAATACAGAGAAACCCTGTCTCGTAAAACTAAAAAAAAAAGAAAGGGTCTGGTCCTTTGAACTTTTGAACATTAAATGTGGGTCTCATAACCTGAAAAATGGGAAGGAAGGGGTCAAAGGCTGGACAGAGTCAGCGTGGTCCGAGACAGAGCCGTCTTGTCCTTACTTCCATGTGGACTGCTTTCCCCACAGGCGCCAGATCATCCCGGGTGGATCTGTCTCATCTGCCTCTTGCTTCAATGCCAAGCATTTCTTGGGTTTGTCCTCCCGTTTCTTAACCACTTTAATTATTAGAAATCACTGTTATCAATGTTTCCCATCACGTCGTGATTCTCTCCCCTGTGGGAGAGTTAATCAGGCTCCCCGCTTACCTCACTCATGTGCCCTGCACTCCTGAGGAACACAGCAGAATCACCTCTCAGCCTCCACCCACAGCAGAGGCTGGAGTCAGGGGAGCCTGGGCATCTTACATGGTCTGAGCCCTGGCTGCTGTTGTACGTAGCTGCCAGGGAAACTGCCTCTGTGAGAGCCCCGTGCACCCTGAGAGGAACCATGTGTAATCTTGCTTTGGGCTTCTCTACCAAATGCATCCTATGTTGATGACTTAAGAAAAAACTGAGTTTAACTCGGTGATTCTCTTCTCAGCCCTTACCTAAGAATCACCCCAGAGGTTCTGACTCAGTCAGTGTGCTCAGTGGGGCATGGCTGCTGATTGTAAAAAGTCTCCCAGGTAACCCTAGCGTGCAGTCAATGTGAACGACTGGGCACAGCATCGTGCACCCTTTGCCCTCACTCCTGGAAGGCATGTTTCCGAAGGCAGGCATGGATCGCCCCGTAGAAACCTGACTGCTTCTTAGCCAAGAGGCTAAAAATCATCCTTTAGTGTCTATGGAGAACCAAGGGTATCCGAATCTATCACTCAGTGCCTTGTATCAAACGGCATTATATCCTGCTATAATTCACCTACATCCTCCTATATACTCTCACTCATCTCTAGATTACTATACATAATGCCTAGTTCAAATGGTTGAACTTGTTAGGGACTAATGAAGAGAAAAGCTATCTTTAGAATAAATGCAATTGATGTCAGGGTGTTGAGACAGGGCCTTATTATGTAGCTCTGGCTATCCTGGAATTCACTAGACCAGGCTGGCCTCAAACTCAACAAGATTGGCCTGCCTTTGCCTCCCTAGTGCTGGGATCAAAGGCTTGCAATTTTGCAATTTTTTTCTGTAAATGTTTTAATCTAGGGGTTAAATGTATAGATGTGGAATCTGGGAATGCGTGCATGCAGGCATGTGTGTGCATGCCTCTGTGTGTGTGCATGTATTCACACATGTGTAACTTTTTATTTTCGTTTAAAGCATGTCCATCCACTGGAATGAGACTCCCTAGTCTGCATCTCTCCAGCGCTGGCTAGACCCCAGGAACTTGGTCAGTGTCTGGCTCTGTGATCTCCGTGAATGGTGATGACTGGTGACTTCAGCTTGGGCTGCCTTCCACAGACACACCCTGGGATTCCTCCAGAACCCTTGGGCTGGGGTCAGAGTGGAGATCGCCCAGTGGTAATGACTAGTTTATGCTGTGTTGATGAACTGTGTTTAGAATGAACTGCTCGCTTACTACTTTTTATATAAAACTATTAATCAGTCTATTTTTGTAAATTATCTACAATGTTGGCCCTTACATCTAGATAAGTGATAAAATTCTTACAATTCTCTTCTTTGACAGCCACCATCCACCCAGGCACTAAGGCAGATTTACTAAGGTTACTGTCCTGGCTCCAGGAAGGTTGGGCAGGCAACATAGATATGTGCAGGTATAAAACACACAGCAATGCTCCCAGCTCCGACAGGACCCAGTCGTTTTTGTATTAACGTTGTATTGAAAGCTTGATAAACATTTTGGTAAATGTGTGTTAATGACTTTTTTTTTAAAAAAGGCAACACCCATACCATCACAAAAAGCTACCTCTCTAAAAGATTTATGGGTGAAAACACCCTACATTACTTTTCGGTAACAAATGAAGTAATTAATTATAGATATTACACATGGCTCTCTGCTCTGGATCTTTTACTCCTGATGTCCACTTTGTTCAGTCACAGAAGGTCTCCCCCACTTCGGGGACTTACTTTGCCTCATCCAATTCCCGTGGATGTTACTACAGGGGACACCTCAATGCCCCCACAAGTTCAGGCAAATTAAGAAGTCAATGCCTCCACACCCCAGCTTCCTCCCAACTCATATTTCCAGAAATGTATTTCCTAACATTTCCTATACTCTGCTCCCAGGCAAATCCGGCCCTCCTTTGACAGCCAGTTCCCCAGGGAGGCACCCTGGGCTTTGCCTCTGGGAGGAAAACTGCCTAGGATGTGAGTAGAGGCCGCCTCAGCTGGTGGCAGGCACTGTGGTGGCCACTGCGCAGCGCCTCCAACCACTCACCAGCCACGGGCTCTGCCCATCCCAGGGACAGCACGCAATGGTGACACGTCCCTCCTGGGGACGTGAAGCTAATGGATCAGGGCTGACTCTGGGGGATTTCCATCTGTAACAAAGACCCTTTGTCGTCCTCTTCCTACTTCATTTTCTCCTGTCCTGTGAACTGGCATGTCTTGGGATTCCTGGTCCTCTCCACCTGTTATAAACATCCACTTCCTAGAGTGTGTCCAGTTTACATAATCTATTCCCAAAATACTGATCTTTAGGCAGGTCCTCTATCACAGAGAACAGTGGGACAGACCACTTTCTTACTGAATTAAACATGGAGGACGCCGGGTGGGGACGAAGGGTCCCTAAGATAAATAGATGTCCCCATGATGAGTGTGAAGGGGTTAAAATTTAATAACTGCCTGCCATGTGCCACACAGTAATTTCAAAGGCTATTTCACAACTGCCACATATAGTAAAACACTCGGAGAAAGAAGAAGTCAGGGGAAGTTCCTCTGGTGTGGGAAAATTGGGATGGGGAGACAAAGAATTAGAAATAGATCAGAGAAGCTGCAGGGAACCCCAGTAGATACAGATCAGCTGACCAGGTCATGACCTCTAAAATCAAGTACACTGTACTGGCGTTTATGCACTGCTGTGGAATGTTAAAGACATGCTACATTATTGTATGCTATGCAGTATTTGTTTAATGATCCAAATATGTGTTGCATTCTTTTATGTTGTATTTGTCTAACTCTGTGAAGCTGTGTTTCTTTGCCTGCCTAAAACACCTGATGGGTCTAATAAAGATCTGGATGGCCAATAGGCAGGCAGGAGAGAGAAACAGGTGGGGGCTGCCAGGCAGAGAGAATAAACAGGAGGAGAAATCTAGGCTAGAGGAGCGAGAAGAAGGTTAAGCAGAAGATGCTGTGGGTCAGCCACCCAGCCAGACATGGAATAAGAAGGAAAGAAAAGATATACAGAAGTAGAGAAAGGTAAAAGCCTGGAGGCAAAAGGGATAATTTAAGTTAAAAAAAAAAAAAGCTGACTAGAACAACCAAGCTAAGGCCTGGCATTCATAAGAAAGAATAAGCCTCCATGTATTTATTTGTGAGCTGGGAGGTGGGCCCCCAAAGAGCAAAGAAAAAAACTCTAAGAAGAAACCTGTGCGAGTGTGGAGACCAAACTCAAGCACACCTTTAAAAGCAAATTCCATCTCCCATGTCAGTCAAGTTTCCGCCATCACTGGCCCTCTGTGCTTGCAGATGGGTTCCACGCCAGAAAACGGCACAGGAGTTCTCGGGAGACTCTCCCTAACTGAGGGAGACCCTCCCTAACTAACTGAGACCCTCCCTAACTGGCCTCCATTCTCAGGAAATGGTGGGAATTTCAGAGTCTGCTTTTCCTCTGTGAACTTGAGGCACGATGGGAGTTTTAGGGAATTTTTCAGATAAATCTTATTCCTGTGAGTTTAAGTGATGCCAAGTAAGTGTCCTTGGAGTCACATGACGTCCAGTCTCTAAGGAAGCTATGGAACTCAAGGAATTCACCAATCCAGACCAACCCAGAGTTGCTGGGATTCCTAGGAGAGACAGCCGCCATGCATGCTCCCCTCCTCCACCCCCTGTTCCTCCCTGCACCCCTCCCTCCCCTCCTCTACCCCCTGCTCCTCACTGCACCTCACCCTCCCCTCCTCTACCCCTGCTCCTCACTGTACCCCTCCCTCCCATCCTCCACCCCCTGCTCCTCACTGCACCCCTCCGTCCCCTCCTCCACCTCCCTGCTCCTCCCTGCACCCCTCCCTCCCCTCCTCCACCTCCCTGCTCCTCCCTGCACCCCTCCCTCCCCTCCTCCACCCCTGCCCCTCACTGTACCCCTCCCTCCCCTCCTCCACCCCCTGCTCCTCACTGCACCCCTCCCTCCCATCCTCCACCCCCTGCTCCTCACTGCACCCCTCCCTCCCCTCCTCCACCCCCTGGTCTTATGAGTAGCACTTCCAGGTGGCAGCTGAAGCTACTGGCAACCCCTGTATCTGTCTGTATGTTTAATCATGAACAGGTACATGCCAGTAAATGGAGGGCAGAGGTCAACCTGGGGTGTTGACCTCAGCTTCCCACTTGTTTTTCATGGGTTGTTTATTTTTTTACTTACAGTGTACGTGTGTGTGTGTGTGTGTGTGTGTGTGTGTGTGTACATGTGCATATTCATGCCATGGTAAGTGTGTGGTAAGAGAACAACTTTCCGTTTTTCTCCTTCACCCTGTGAATTAGGAGATGTAACTTAGGTCGTCAAGCTTGGCAGGGAGAACCTTAGCCTGCTGAGCCATTTTTCTGGCCTCCTCCTCGTTCTCTGAGACAGGGTCTCTCACGGAGACCTGACTCACGAAGTAGGCTAGGCTGGCCGGCCAGAAAGCCCCCAGAGACCCTCCTGTGTCCCCTCCCAGTGCTAGAGTTGCCAAGTGTGTGCCACCACTCCAGCATTTTACATGGGTCCTGAGGGGCCAACTGGGGTCTCATGCTTGTACAGCAAACATTTAACTGACAGAGCTGCCAACCCACCAGCCTTTGTCTTGATTTCTTTACATGGAAGATGACCCTATTATCTGGTCTCCTGCATTCGTGTCCCTCCCTGGATGCTGGAGCCTGAGGACCATTCTAAGGGTCCATGGAGAGATGCTGCACATTTCCCCATGCCTGTCCCCTAAATCCTGGTTTGGTCCTGGTCTGAAGGTGACACAGGTTCCTAGACAGAGCTACAAGGGGAGGCAGTTGTGTGTTCATGGAACAATTAAGGCCTGCAGATTGAGCCCTTTGGGGGGCACCCACCTTTTCAGCTATCAGGAAGTCAGAGCGGAGGGCCTCTCGGGTACAGATGGCACCGAGCAGGAAGGCGAAGATGATGTACAGAAACCACCTGCAAAACCCAAGAGAGTGAGCTGCTACCCGGCCCAGCTGCACCCCACCGAGCCTCGGGTTTCTGTGGGAACCTGTGTCATGAAAGGAGGTCAGCCGTGAAGCCACGGAACTAGCCTGGGAAGCTGCATTCTGTACTCTTTCTCCTCTGGAACTGAGGTAGCAGTGCTTTCATTCCAATATTAAAGAAGGGTGTTGAGGTGGGGAGATGGGAAGCCCAGCTGCCAGGACTTGGTCGGGATTGACTTGCTGTCCCACAGCCCATCCATCTTCCTCCAAGCAGAAGAACTACCCAGTCATCTCTTGGGTCTCTAGTCCCTAGACCAGAGATAACAAGTACTGAGAATTTTGTCACCTTGGCACAAGCTAGTGTCTTCAACTGAGAAAATATCTCTGTAAGGTTGGCCTGTGGCCTGTAGGTGAGTGTGGAAGGCATTTTCTTGATTAATGATTGATGGGGGAGGGTCCAGCCCACTGTGGGTACTGCCATCCCTGGGCAGGTTGAGCAAGCCATGGGGAGCAAGCCTGTGAGCATCACTCCTCCATCCATCATCTATTTCCGTTCCTGCCTCCAACCTGACTTCCCTCCATGATGGACCATAAACTCTAAGTTGAAATAAACCCTTCCTCCCCAAGGCCATGGTGTTTTATCACAGCAACAGAAAGCAAACTAATACACAGAGGGGAGAATTAAAAGGCAGAGCCATAGCCTGGCTCTACCACTAAGCTGCGGCCCTGTGTGGGAGAATAAGTCACATGATCCTGAGGTCTGCCCATTCCCGTCTGAGCAATGACAGGATACACCAGCGTCTGACATCCAGCTGACTGTGTGAGGCAGAGCTGGCTGCTCAAGTGAAACCTTCTTCCTCTTCCTCCCAACACTAGGCTCCCCCTGTCTCTTCATTTCTTCCCAGCCTTGTTGCCTCGTTTTGCACACATGGCCTGGAGCAGGGAGGTGCTGCGGTAGGCATTTGCAGGTGGATATTTTAATGTTTTAAAGTATTGTGTTGTGCAGGCACAGTCAGCTTCTCACATCAGGACCTTACTGCCTTCCCACACCTGTCCAATGAAGGCAGAGATGCACCCTTCTTCCCATCCAAGGGAAACAGCAGAGGACTCTAGAGGGTCAGAAACAGACCCAAGGTCATGTCACAGTCTGCTAGTGAGAGCAGCACAATGGGAACTAAAACCCCAGAAACCAACAACCCTGGGGGAGCAGGAGGGGAAGGAACAGAGCCACCTCTGAGCTTCTGCTATTCACCCTAGCATGCAGCATCTCCCTCCGTTCATAAGATGTACACATGAAGACACACCCACAAATACTTAACACCTACCTACATACACTCACACACACACACACACACACACATACACACACACACACACAGAGAAAGCTGAGGAACAGGATGCAGACAGTAGTCTGTGATTGCAACATACTTCATCTCCATGTTCCCACCATGACCCTGGGAACTCAGTGGTTAAGAAAAAAAAATCCCCAAGTTCAAAATGAGGGTGGAGAAGAGACACGGTGGTTGAGGGGGTGGGGCAAGGGAAGGATTTGGTTTGCATTCATGACCTTCTCCTCCCAAGGCATTCTCAGGCAGGGGGTGTGAAAGGACAGTGTCTGAACCCAGCAGACGTGAATTTTCCGGCCCACTGAGTATAAAAAGGAGGATTGGAATACGAAATAGGTTGGTCACAGCCAGGGCACTCTCGGAACAAAGGGGGAGTCCCCTCTTCTGCCTGGGGTTTTCTCTCCCATTCTGCAGCTCACACTGATTGCTAAGAGGGGAACTTACGAGATGCCAACAGCTGCCAGGGAGCCTAGGGGTATGCTGGTAGCAGGCTCCCTCAGGTCTCCTCCCATGTTGAAGCCAGCCATGACGCCTGAAAGACACCCAGACAAGGGACAGAGTGAGGCAGGGTACTCTGTGAAGCCAATCTCTCTCCCCAGGGTGGTCCCTTCCTCTCCTCTGGGCCCGTTCCTGGAAGCTACCATCTGCAACAGTGCAAGCAGGCCACTGCTCCATCTCCCCTAGCAACTGGGGAGGCATCTGCAGGGCAGTGAAAGGGACCTTTGTGGATTGTGCTGGTGCTCAGGAGGAAATCCTTCGTAGCTCTGAAAGCATCTCATCACTCCGTGGAAAGTATCAAGGATGAGGGAGGTGAGCTCACTGCCACACAAAGGTCCCGATGCCCCATGCTGAGCTCTGCCTGCTTAGCTGGGACAATGCCCAAAGTGGCTCCTAGGAACAAAGGGCCTGTGGATTTCTTCTGCTGCCAGCTATTTCACTGAGGGTTCAAGAACTCCCAGGATCAGTTATCATCCAGCAGCCAGGACCAAGTGCCACGTTCAGAGCTCCTGATCTACTAAAGGGCTCCAAATGACAAAAATCTGTGGCAATCGGGGATCACGGTGTCAGTCTCCTTCATCTCATTACCTCCAATCCCCAAGAACAACAATGAAGCACTTGCTAGATAAAGGCAAGTGGACATCTATGAGTTCATGGCCAGTCTACTCTATATGGAAAGTTCCAGGACAGCCAGACTACTCATAGAACTACCACAACCACCCCACTCACCCTCCCCCCCACACACACAAAATAATGAAAACTAATTCATCCCTTGTGGTGAGGGACCAATAGCAGAGCAGGGGAGGAGAGAGATAGTTCCTCTCTCTAGACATACTTAACAGGACAAAGTGTTTTGAAGTGAGATGAGGGCCCAGCCCGTGAGTGCTATATCAGCTCAGTGTGAAGGGAAATGTCACCATGTGACTCTTGACACAGCACATGGAGATGGTGGCAGGAGGAGTGTGGCCCTGGAAGAGATTTTAGTGGACTCAGGGACGACATGGGTCTGATAACACCATTGTAGACTGACACTCAGCCTACAGCGTTGGGTAAGTGCTTTGAGCAAATTTTCTTTCTGTTTAACCTTTACCACAACCACATCAGAAGAGGGGAATTATTCCTGTGTTTTGTAGGAAAGCTCTAGAGAAGGTAAGTGAAACAGCCTAAAGGCTCACATTTGGTAACTGGCAAAGCTAGGCTTCAGCCCCGATCTGTCTGACTCTGATAATAGTACCATTTCTAATGCTTCTGCTGTGATGCCTCAGGGAACCCAGGGAGTAGCAGAGTCAAGTGAGAGTTTAGGTCCAGGAAGCTACAGGGGGACTAGTTCAAAACAACCCTGAATCTTGGACCAAGAACTGGCTCTACACACATTTTTGTCCCTATTATTCTACCACTAAGAGTTTTTCCGGGGGCTGGAGAGATGGCTCAGAGGTTAAGAGCACTGACTGCTCTTCCAGAGGTCCTGAGTTCAATTCCCAGCAACCACATGGTGGCTCACAACCATCTACAATTCAATCTGGTGCCCTCTTCTGGCATGTAGACAGAACACTGTATATGTAATAAATAAATAAATCTTTAAAAAAAAAAGAGTTTTTCCAAATAGTCAAGCATACTGTGGTGGGTTGTCTGTACTTGGCACAACCGAAAGTCATCTGGGAAGGGGGCCCACAATTGAAGAACTGTCTCAATCAATCAGACTGGCCTGTGGACATGTCTGTGAGGAATTATCCTGATTGATGAGTGATGTGGGAGAGCCTAGTCCACGGTGGGAGGCATCATCCCTATGCAGGTCACCCCTGGGCTACGTAACAAAGCTAGCAAGCCAGTCAGCAGCAACATTCCTCCGTGGTCTCTGATTCTGTTTCTCCCTCCAGGTTCCTTCCTTGACTTCCCTCAGTGATGGCTTGCTACTAGGAAGTATAACCCAAGTGCACTGGTCAAGTCTCTGTTAACTTGACACAAGCTAGACTCATCCGACAGGAGGAACCTCAAGTTAAGAAAATGCTTCAAGCCCGGCAGTGGCGGCGCACACCTTTAATCCCAGCACTTGGGAGACAGAGGCAGGCAGATCTCTGTGAGTTTGAGGCCGGGCTGGACCGACAGCCTCCAAAACAATACAGAGAAACCCTGTCTCGAAATACCAAAAAAAAAAAAAAAAAAACAGGAAAGAAAAAAAAGAAAGAAAATGCTTCAAGACCAGGCCTTAGGCAAGCTGATTGATGGGAGAAGGCCCAGCCCATTGTGGGTGGGGCCACCTCTGGGCTGGTGGTTCTGGGTTCTGTAAGAAAGCAGGCTGAGCAAGCCATGGGAAGCAAGGCAGTAAGCAGCACCCCCTCCAAGGTCTCTGCATCAGCTCCTGCCTCCAGGTTCCTGCCCTGTTTGAGTTCCTGCCCTGACTCCCTTCAATGATAAACAGAGATATGGAAGTGTAAGCCAAATACATCCTTCCCTCTCCAACTTGCTTTTTGGTCATGCTGTTTTGTCACAGCAATAGAAACCCTAACTAGGACACCAAATTAACCCTTTTCTCTTCCAAATTTCTTTTGGTTGGGCTGTTTTATCACAGCAAACCAGAACACCTATAAATAAAGGTGCAACCAACAGGTTTATAAACAAGGTGATATTTTTTGTGTGTGTGATCTAATAAAGCTTGCCTGAAGATCAGACAGGATCACCCCTTTCGGTCCGAGGTAGAGGTCAGAGCTAGTGGCTGAACGCTTTGTTCTTCTGATCTTCAGGCCAGCTTTATTTGTTAAATTACAAACAACATATCACTATATAGAAATACTTATTTAAGCAGTGAAAATTAGCAACTATCGCATGTCTAAAGCTAGAGGGTTGGCTAAGTAAATGATGATGATAGGCCTTCAGTAACTACCAGGTCTCAGATTCAGTGTGGGATATGCTGTGAGGTAGAAGGGCAGATACAGCTATTGTTTAAAGAGGGTTATCAGAAACAGAACATACGGCATATTCCCATTGTTACCTGGGGGTGGGGAGAGGGAGAGGGAGAGGAGAGAGAGAGAGAGAGAGAGAGAGAGAGAGAGAGAGAGAGAGAGAGAGAGAGAGAGAGGTGGGGAGGCTCAGTCCATGAAGTTCTTGTCACACAAAGAATAGGACCTGAGTTGGAGGCCCCAGCACTCACATAAACAGGAAATGGTAGCATATGCCTAAGATCCCAGCCCTGGGAAGGTCAAGACAGCACCCCTAGGGCTTGTGGCCAGACAGTCTATCTGAATGGTCAAGGTCCAGGTTCAGTGAGGAAATCTCATCCCAGAAAACAGGATGGAGAACGACAGAGGAAGACACACAATGTAGACATCTACACCCTTCTACACACACACATACACACACTTACACACACTCTCTCTCTCTCACACACACACACACACACACACACACACGCATTCACATACACATGGAGCTAGAACATGTTTACAAATATTAATCATATTATTTCTGCATGATGGAAGATTTTTTTTTTTGCTTTTTTGAGACAGGGTTTCTCTGTATTGTTTGGAGGCTGTCCTGGAACTTGCTCAGTAGACTAGGATGGCCTGGAACTCAGAGATCCGCCTGCCTCTGCCTCCCGAGTGCTGGGATTAAAGGTGTGTGCCACCAATGTCCTGGCTCGGAAGAATATTTTTTTACAATTTGTTGATGTTTTCCCAGTGTTTTAGTCATTGTTTTTGTATTTCCCCCTGATGGCTTCATCAAGCATTTTTCCTTCTCTATTTTTTTAATTTAAAGTAAAATCAAGCTTGTTTTACGTGTCAATCCCAGTTCCCTCTCCATCTCCTCCTTCCCTGTCCCCTTCTAGGCCCCTATCCTATTCCCTTTCTGCTCCCCAGGGAGGGTGAGGCCTTCCATGGGGGATCTTCAAAGTCTATCATATCCTTTGGAGCAGGGCCTAGGCCCTCCCCTGTGTGTCTGGGCTGAGAGAGTATCCCTCTATGTGGAATGGGCTCCCAAAGTCCATTCTTTTGCTAGGGATAAATACTGATCTACTACCAGAGGCCCGATAGATTGCTGAGGCTTCCTCACTGACACCCACTTTCAGGGGGTCTGAATCAGTCCCATGCTGATTTCCCAGCTATCAGTCTGAGGTCCATGAGCTCCCCCTTGTTCAGGTCAGCTGTTTCTGTGTTTCACCAGCCTGGTCTTGACCCCTTTGCTCATCACTCCTCCCTCTCTGCAACTGGATTCCAGGAGTTCAGTTCAGTGTTTAGCTATGGGTGTCTGCTTCTGCTCCCATCAGCTACTGGATGAAGGCTCTAGGGTGGCTTATAAGGTAGTCTTCAATCTCATTATTGGGGAAGGGCATCTAAGGTAGCCTCTCTACTATTGCTTAGATTGTTAGTTGGGGTCATCCTTGTAGATCTCTGGATATTTCCATAGTGCCAGATTTCTCTTTAAACCTATAATGGCACACTCTATTATGATATCTCTTTTCTTGCTCTATTCTTCCCCCAACTCAATCTTCCTGCTCCCTCATGTTCTCCTCTTCCCTCCTCTTCTCCCTTCTCTTTCTCCTAGCTCCCACTCCCATCCCCACCATGTTCCCAATTTGCTCAGAAGATTTTGCCCCTTTCCCCTTCTCCAGGGGAACATGTATGTCTCTCTTAAGGTCCTTCTTGTTTCCTAGTTTCTCTGGCAGTGTGGATTGTAGACTAGTAATTCTTTGCTTTATTTCTAAAATCTATATATGAGTGAGTACATACCATGTTGGTTTTTTTGTGACTGAGTTACGTCACTCAGGATGGTTTCTTCTAATTCCATCCATTTGCCTGCAAATTTCAAAATTCCATTGTTTTTTTCCACTGAGTAGTACTCCACTGTGTAAATGTACCACATTTTCTCTATCCACTCTTCAGTTGAGGGGCATCTAGGTTGCTTCCAGGCTCTGGCTATTACAAATAACGCTGCTATGAACATAGTGAAACAGACATCCTTGTTGTATGAATGTGCATCTTTTGGGTATATGCCTAAGAATGGAATTGCCAGATCTTATGGTAGACTGATTCCCATTTT